GGGGGTAAAGTGGAATACGATTGGATATGGGGGAGATGCGGTGGATAACGACTGGATGGGGGGAGGGGCGGGGGTACAGTGGATTGCGATTGGGGATAGTGGAGATGCGGTGGATAACGACTGGATGTTGGGGGGTATGGGGGATATGCAGTGGATAACGACTGAATGTTGGGGGGTATGGGGGATATGCAGTGGATAACGACTGGATATGGGGAATAGGCGTGGACGCTATCCCGGGGTCTTGGATTACACCCGGATATAAGGGAGATTCCGTGGATTATGCCTCTATTTGCAGGATAAAGGCTGGATATGCTCGAGAGAGTCGGGATGGCGCCTGGACTCGGGGGAGATGCAAAGGAGTACGCCTGGATATGCAGGGTACGGCGTGGATTCTCCCACGAGAACCTGGATGAACAGTAGATGTGTGAGAGCTGCAGAGGATGACGCTTGGATATGGGGGATAAGGCCATCTAGAGAATTTGGATAACGACTGGATCTATAGTGAGATGATGTAGATAACTATAGGATACGAGGGATATTGCACGGGCTCTTTTTCGGAGTGCTGGATTACACCTGGATGTGAGGGGGATGAGGGGGATGGCGCGTGGATTATGCCTGGATATTCTGTATACATGCTGTGTGGTCTCGGGAAAAGCTGGACGACGCCTGGATGCGTGGGAGATGCGGGGAATCGGGCCTGGATGTGCAGGATACTGCGTGGACCCTGTCGCGAGAATCAGGATGTGTGGCAGATGCGGAGGATAAGGCCTGGATATAGGGGAAATTGAGAGGACACTCTCCCGAGAAGTTGGATAACGTCTGGATGTTGGGGAGATGCGGGGGATTTCGTGCGGATTCTCTCTCTAGAAGCTGGATATCGTCTGGATGTGGGAGAGATAGAGAGGTTTACGCCTGGATCTGCATGATACGGGGTGGATTTTCATAGGAGAACCTCGACCGCGGCTGCAGTGGATAAGATGGATGGCGACGAGAGTCTCTGGAGAATTGGCCATGCACTGTAAAAAAAATCCATCTTTATTTTAAGAACACGTGTTTGGAAGCAATTTACAAAACAAATTTGCTCTTAAATTTAAGAACAAATGTCTTATGAAAATTAAGAACATGTTTTGAAAATTAAGAACGTGTTATGAAACGACAAAAATGCTTTACTGTTCCAGCCTAACGCAAAACTGGAAAATATTTAGTTCTTGTTCCTACGGACAGATGTTCAAACCCGACTTTGTACACATTATAGTTACTTACCTTAACTTACCTGGGTGGATTCGAACCTC